ACCGAGTGAGACCACACTCCAAGGGCGTGTTAGGCCACAAACACTTACACTCGTGGATAGCCAGTGCTGTGGGGTTGTTAATCAGCAGACCTCCATCCTGTGCACAAAACAGAAGAAGTGCCATGTTAGAGACTCAATTTACAGGCTGTAAATGTTTTTTTTTATGCCAAGACCACAGTCAGCGAAACCAATTCATTGGCATGTGAAACTTCAAAACCACTTCATAGATTTTAACAGTCAATAGATGATTTTTTGAAGAACATCTGACGAAACAAAAAGAACAGATCAATGTGCAGGTCCAATGGTTTTTTTTTTTTTTCCTTTCTTCCCTCACAGTTTCAGTCTGACTGGCTTTGATATTGTACAACCGCTCAGGAGTGCTTTTGCTTTGGATCCATAATCTACCCAAGGCAGTGGGGGAGTAACGGGAGAGGCTGTGGGGTTTGTTGAATAGGCATGAGACAGAGGGGCCGCAGGGCTGCAGGCTGGCAGCAGGATCAAACACACAGGGGCCAGTCCTCATTAACGAGGCCAGGCTGGGGGGAGGAAGCTGCAGGGCCCCAAGTGTCAAGGGACACACTAGGGGGAAGAGTGCTTATTTATCCGACTGCGTGTATGTGCATGTTTGATCGAAAGCTCATGCCTGCTTAGAGTCAATGCATATAATAATGTGGGTACTTGGTTCTGACAGCATATGTCACATGGATTCATACACATTGCGCCTCAGGGAGCAGAGGGGAGGGAACATTCAATCTTTTCAGCACACTTCAGCAGTGTCGCAGCCTAACAACAATTCTGTACAAATCTGTGGAGCACATAGTGTGATGGGGAATATGCAGGATGCCTACCAAGGCAAGGTCTGTTAATCATCCAGGGAACAGGACTGAGAAATTGTGTCATCAATCCGAAGACAAGGAAAATAGAGCTGCAAAGGGAGTTGGCTATTGTAGTTAGTGCATCAGGTAATAGCTCCCATGATAACAGATGCTTTGTGAATGGCATGTGGCTTTTCATATAGTAGTTCTCTATGAAAACTTTGAGTGACCTTGAGAAAATACAGGAAATTCAGCAAAGCAAGCCACTCAAAAGAAATACATTAATAGTCAAACAAGACTAAGAATCTACAGACACACTTGCAGCTCTGGTAAGACTGACTTGACAAAATGCTACAGTCAGCATGCAAACATTGCTTATGTTTGGGTGGTATAATGTTTAACATGTTCACCATCTTACACTGACACAAAGTACAGCTGGAGCTGACAGAAATGTCCTTAGAGCTGCAACAATTGTCGATTGGCAAAATTCTCAGGTTCCAGCTTCTCAAATATGTACATTTCCTGGTTTCCTTAGACTTCTATGATAGTGCCTTATACCTTTGGAATGGTCAGACAAAACAAGACATATAAAGATGTCAATAATGACAATAATTGTTAGTAGCTTGGACACTCGATAATGGTACCCTATGAAAAGCTAAGGGATCACAAAAGTCATTACAATTTATCCTGAGGGTGCATGAATGTCTGGTCAGTCTTCATGTTGGGGTGTAACCAAAAAAGTGAAAACTTTGTAGTGCTGTTTGCGCTAGATGAAAAGTCAGGGCATCATCCAAGGTCTTTAGGAGTCATCCTTCGAGCACCATGAATATATGTACTAGATTTCCTGAAAATCCATCCAAAAGTTGTTGAGACATTTCAATAAAAAACAGAAATGTCATCATCATGGTGGCGCTGCAGGAAAAGTCAGGGGATCAACAAAACGATTAGGAATCATAAATGTCGGTACAAAACAGTTGATATTTTAGTCTGGACGAAAGTGGTGTAAAAAAATAAAAAAAATTACAAAGGCAAATGTCTCCAGTCCCTCTGAGTCAGACACTGTCTGATAGATGAACCTTCTATGATTTAAAAGAAGAAGAATCTGTTTAGATAATGTACTGTACAAATGATCAAGAGAATCGAAGCCAGAGCCTCACAGAGCACCGATCTCACAGGCTGAGATGGAAGTCACACAAAGAGGCTTTCGCTCTGCCACAAAGCACGGACGAATTGCTGAGACAGCCGTTTGTCCAAAGCACGTCATTATGCACCAGTAGGGTGTCTGGCAGACCAAGAAATGAATCACAGAAAAGGGGAGAAAATGCCTGTATTGGAGTTGCTCCTAATGGAGACTTAGAGGGACTTGCACTGTGGAGAGCACCAGACAAACCCGGCTGGAAACAAAACAACTAAGCAGTTTTCTTATCACTCACACCACTGTGAGCCGCTCCATTTTCTGAACTCAGTGGCAATTATGGCAACAGTCTGGGTCCAGTCATGGGTTCTTTGTGCTGATAGCTGGGGGCAAGTTTCACAAGCACAGTGGCCAGCCTCGCGCACAGAGCCAAGCATGTAACATTAGAAGCCAACTGCACAATGCTCTTGTGAGCTGGAAGTTGAATGCCATAACTTGTCTCCATTTCAGTGCACCTGCTTGGGCAATTTAAAGCTGGTGAACATAGTTGAGGCCTTTAAGGAAAGTTGGTTTTTTTTTTTGGCAGTGAAGTCGCTTTGTGGTGCCACTGGAAGACTGTTCTTTGTGTGTGGCGGTCAGAACTTTTTAGAGGATCATTAATTTAAAAGACAAAGATAATTTGCATCTGCCATCTCCTTCCACAGCTGCCATGAACAAACACATTTCATTACATTTTTTCACTTAGCTGACACTTTTATTCAAAGCAACTTACAATTGCAATTTATGGCAGAGGTTGCATGCCTTTGGAGCCATTTCCTTGAGAAAGATGGTACCAGGCACACTGAGAACATGCTCAATCTGCAGTGGTACAGCCGGGGCTCTATAAAGCCACTTATCACTGAGATATTCATACTTAGACTACTGCCACGTTTTCACACAAGGATGTCTTGAAGCCAGGGTTTATTTGGATGAAGAGTTAAGTTAGAAACAATGATCTACTTAGGACAAACAGCAAATGAGCTTTGCATGCAAAATAGGCAAACTCAAGCTGTCTATCAAACATGCAGCAAGATGCAAGGCAAAGGTCATTTCCATTTATGAGGATTAAGAGCTGTAATGCTGCTCGCAGTGAATAAATGTGCCGTGTGGCAACTGATGAATGTCCTCAAAGGGTACACCCCTGTCAGCCGAGACCATCTGACGGAAGTTTAACCCCAGAGTCTGAATGGAAACTGAATTTTGGAATGGCGTGTTTGAATTCCACCTTCCTGAAAGGCTTAATGCTTTCCTTTAACAGCATGCCTTGATTCCGGTACAGCCTGTTTGCTGATACTTTGCCCTTCAGGGTCTAATGGCTGATTCACAAATCAGCTCCTCATTTTCCTGCAGCTCGAATGAAGCCAGTTTTCAACTAATTAGGGCTCCTACACCTACGGGAACATGTTTCCCTTCTTCAGATGGCCAATTAAACCAAAATACGGCTTTAAAAAGAAAGCGCTCTTACAGAATGTGAAATAAAACTATTGAGATGATATTAGCTGTGATGAATAAACAAAATTAAGACATGCACCATTTATAGCTCCCTTGCACTGGTGTTTGAAATATCTGCACTGTCATTAACTTTTGGGGGCTTATCTTCACTGTGCCAGTTTAGGCTGTCTTAGAGGGGGAGAGCTGATTTGAATAGGAAAGAGGTGCTATCGTCAGGATCAGTAAAAGTCATTTCACGCCCCAGTGTACGTCAGCTCCTAGTAGTTTGGACAGCAAACTTCATTCTGTTCATCCTGCCTGTATGCCTCTGTATCTCTCTCTGCTTCTCTAACTCATGGGGAAGCTTCAATGCTGTCTTGTGCAAGGGTCATTATTAGCAGCCACAACACAGAGACGAACAGAGCGCCTGCTTAAATCTAAATGAGGTGAGACTTTGACATACATGTGGTATTGCATGTACATCATAGTCCCAGTGAGCAGCTGTAGTCATTACAATTTCATCTTTGGCTTCTTTGACAGGGCTTGACTGAGGGGCACTGAGCTCTGTCATGATTTATTATGAGGCTCCTTTCTCTCAAATGATTAATTAGGGAAGCATTACATAAGCCATGGACATCTGATTGTGCCTGTCACAATAACCAGGCTGTTTTCCGGAAATGGTCATTCAATTGATAAAGTAGATAATTAGGCTGCTGTAAAAACTCTCCTGTACTCTCAATACTTCTAAATCAACACAGTTTGCACATGAAAGCAAGCTTTCTCAGTCACTCTCTATGCAATCAGAAAAATAAATAAAAAAAAGTAAAATGAATTGCCCAAATGGCATCCAATCCACATAAAGGCCACCATTGTCCATCAATGAGGATGGGAATGACAACGGTTTGGTGACTGCCACTCTTAAGCGGCGGTCAGGTCAAGTCAGAGGTCTTCATGCCATATTATGCAATTACGCCGACCAGTTCTCCTCTTTGCCTTTTTGCTTTATAGGCCCCAAAGGTCACATTCAGTCATCAAGTCATCTTCCCAGGCTGTCGATAAAGGAGGGACGCATCTGTATGAGTGCCAACTTTTCCGCAGGCAGGCAAATAAATTGTGATCTACTGTTTACAGTTACCTTTTCCCACATATTCAGTGAATACATGGCCACACATGTACAACCAGTATTGAAACAATGAATCATCCCTGCCAGCTGGAGCCATCCAGATTAAACTGTGACGATAAATGCAGTGATATAAATGGGTACAGAACCTCATATTTACTCAGATTCCCTCTAGGCTTTATGTACATATTTGACAACTTCATATTAGAAAGCATAATGTTTCTGTCCATCATAACAAGTCACACACTGGGCAATTTAAAGCTAATTTTGCTGCTGTACACTGGAGAGGTGCCTGAACACACACTTGCATATCAATACAATGTGAAGCAGTGATTTATTTTAAGAAATCTCATCTGGAGCCACTGCAGTGAGACGCCTGCAAAGTGTGGTGCACTGTGAGAAAGGAAGGATGTTAGAGACTGAGGAAGATTTGGGTAGGCTTTCACACAGCAGTCAGTCAACATAATCAGTGGACTTGCCTAATCCCAAAACAAGTGTGCCAGTGCAATCAAGTGTTTATGCATGAGTGAAAACATACAGTATGTACAGTGAGGAAA